AATATTCACGTTCTAGGAATCACTCTTAATGATTTGAGATTTTGACCTTAAATATGTTAATTAGTTAGTGACTGAATATGCTAATTAGTTAGTGACTGAATATGCTAATTAGTTAGTGACTGAATATATTTTAAGTTTCGAAATCAGACACAGAAACGTATTTCCTCTTACTAAAAATACCTTTTTTTCGGTGAGTTTGGATTTCTGACCCCCAACAATTTAAGAGCAGCCGAAATCTAGGAAATATAGTCCCAATAGTTTAATCAGGAGAATGGTTGAAAGTTCGGACACCTAAATGCTAATTTTACTTTTTACGTATTTCGCCATACTTCGTCAACTTTTTAAGAGAATTGAAAAATATTTGTACACAATTATAAAATCCGTTTTTTTAAAGCTTAATTTAGTGCAAAAATTTTTTTTTAATAATTACTTATAATTTTTTTATCATTTAATAACAGTCGAAAAAGTTTTGAATTGTAAAATAAACAAATTTTTGCATCTTTTCAAACATTATAACATATTTCATACGCACCTGGAAAGATTAAAAAATGGTAGAAATATTAATATAATTTTCTTATATTATTATGTTTGTAGCTATCACAATGTTTTATTTTCCCTACGTAAATATATATAGAGATCTGAAGGTAACAGGTATGAAATTTTATTTCGAGTGTTAAAGTTAAAAACTTTTCAGCTTCATTATAACAAAATTGGTACCAGTTACTAATTTTTACCTGGTGCGTGCAAACCCTGTATAATTTTAAATGATGAAAGGCAAAGTTTTAAAGAAAGAAATTCTTGGGGAATGAAAGTTTAAAAATATGTTGTTGTTTTTTTTAAATTTTCTTACTCGGAAATTATTTGACAAATTCCATTCAAAGTTTGCATTTTGCCATTAACAATTACATAGTCTTAAATGGTGCAAACATTTATTACCTTAAAATTTAAAAAAATTCTCCCATAATTAAATTAAATAATTATTTTTAAAAATGACGCAAAATTATCTTCGGATAAACCAATTTCATAAATGTGTAAAAAAATTTAATATTTATTATTNAATTATTTGACAAATTCCATTCAAAGTTTGCATTTTGCCATTAACAATTACATAGTCTTAAATGGTGCAAACATTTATTACCTTAAAATTTAAAAAAATTCTCCCATAATTAAATTAAATAATTATTTTTAAAAATGACGCAAAATTATCTTCGGATAAACCAATTTCATAAATGTGTAAAAAAATTTAATATTTATTATTTTTTATGATTTTATTTCATAATAGTCGAAAATATTTTAAAAAGTAAGGTAAAAAGGTAAGGTTTAAAGGTAAGGTAAAAAGTAACTTTTACATCCTTTTTAAGAATGTAGTTTTATATGATAAAATTCAAATTTTAAGCAAAATTGATCGAAAAGTTCATGAGAAATTGAATTTTTAAAAAAGTCGTGTATTTAAAATCTGACAAAAAATTGAAACTAATTAAAGATGGAAAGAAAAAATTTTCCTATATTCATTTAGGAAAAATTAGGAATAGTTTTCCTTTTTTGAAAAAATTTTTATTTCAAAAAAGGACTAAGTTCATATTTCTTATAATTGTTTTATTTGTCTGCAAATAAATTGAATTATCGAAGATATTACTGTAGTGAATGACGCTGTAAGCGCTTTGCTAGTGTGTGTGTGGGGGGGGGGCTAACTATTGATCGAGTTACAGAATCAGATACAAAAACGCGCTTTCTCTGAATAACTGTGCTTTTCTGTTGTTGACGGAATTGGATTTTTGAAAATCAAACTATGGTTGCTTTGCCAGAGTCTGAAATAAATAGTCCCGATAGTTAAGTAAAGAGAGTGGTTGAAAGCTTGGCTTCCTTAATGTAAACTTTGCGAATTTACACTTTTAATGTATTTTTCCCTATCTCTTAAGCGAATCGAAAAATTTTTGCACACAATTGCAAATTTAGTTTATCCATAAATAATTCCATATAAAAACACAATTTTTGCCAGTTTCTTATTTTTTAATTATTTTATATTATAATATAAAAAAATTATAAATTATATTATAATAAAAAAATATATAATTATAAAGCCCGAAAGAAATTATAAAGTATACAAATTTTTGCAACATTTTGAACCAAACTACGTATTTTTAAATATCAACTACAAATATTTGAACGAAATCGGTCAAGTAGAATTTTATAAGTATTGGCTTTTTTGAAATTTATAACTCAGAAGCGATTTAATCAATTTCGCTCATTTTCTTTCTTCTTTTTTTTATTAAAATTTTGTGTAATATGCCCATAAATTGGAAATAACAGTCGACATGTTTCAAGCACTTAAAAATGCGATCCTGCTTCTGAGCGCTTGAAAAACATTTCGATTGTTATTTCCAATTAGTATATTTTTTTAAGTGAATGAAGTTTGTTAATTTAAAATTGTTTTTTTTTTTCAGTTTAAAATTTAAACATATTAATGTCTAAATGTTTAAAAAAATATTTTTTTTAAAGTACCAAAATGATTAATTCCGGAGAATTTGAAAGCTTATCCATAATTTATGAATTATCCAAAGTAAAGAGTGGAACATCTAAATTTTCACACAAGCTAATAAAAGAAAAGAATAGATTGAGTCTTGTGGATTTTGTTTCATGACCGAAATATGAAGAAATGTCCAATACAAAACTGCCTCAAAATGTCCAATACAATACTGCCTCAATATACGTGAACTGTTAAAACATTTTAATTTTTTTACACTTTATATATATTTAAGNATATATCCTGAAATATATAAAAAGTGTAAAAAAATTTAAATGTTTTAACAGTTGGAAATAATTAAAAAGAACTATTAAATTAAATCAATAAATTTTTCTTTAATTTTTTACATGCATTTATAAGTTTAAAATTCTTTTAAGTTAAAAGTTACTAAATAAAAATCGTATTTGTATTTTTGGCATTATTTAAATTTTGGACAAAAGGAAATCACTTGGTCTAATAAATTTGTTTACTATGACGTAATTTTGTTCCACCTTGAAGGTATTGGCTTGACTTTCTCTTGTGCATTTCTATATAGAGTAGTTAAAAGTCGTATATATGGATGAATCTAGAATTATTTTGCCATAATTTATATTTTTAAATGATTAATGTGACTTTCTGTTGTAATAGGTGATTGAATTTAGTAGTCTATTTGATTTTCATTTCATACAATTTAAAACTTGATATCATAAGTAATTAAGAAAGTTGTATTTTCAATAGTCTTAAAGGAAAAACTTCAAAAGGAACGAATAATGACATATTTGATTGTTTATTAGCTGTCATTTTTTTGCGGACACTTTTCGTAAATAATCTATATCAGTTTAAAATACTTTTCTCGTTAATAAAAACCTAATTTCTACGTTTCTGTGAAATTTATCATACCAACGGTGAAAAGAATTATTTCTTAGGTTTTGCTTCCAAGAAAATATTTATTCAAATACAAAAATAATCGTGTATCTTTTTATTTATTTCCTTTTTTTTTGTATTTTGTGAATATAATTTAGCATGTGTGTATCAGAAATTTTCTTGAAGAAATTCTCCAATTTAATTTTTTGAAACCACTCATTTTGGACGAAAATACTTACACACACATTTGTAAATTTTAAATGTAAATATCTATTCTCTGGTGGTTGCAGCAGACAAACCTCAATTTTGTCATTGAACATTTTGCGTGCTACCATGTAAGTTTTAATATCAACCTTTTTAAAGTTTTATATCTTAACAACTAGATATCTGTTGCACATTAATTGTTTAATACATGGGTGCACATTAAAGTTATTGTAGTCCGAAATTTTTAATCTGCAATTAAATATTTTTAAAAATCTACTTCTTATTTTAATTTGTAATTCAATAATTTTGTTTTATACAACTTGGTAAAAATCTGACAGTAATATTTAATGTTCCTTCAAATATAAAAGAGTACTACATGAAATTTTGATAAAGTTGCGGTCCGCCATTTGATTTGTGATTTTAATTGTGGCCCCCGGCCACATGCAAGTTGGAAACCCCTGAGCTAGACTATCGTTGCCATTTTTTAGATATCACATGAAGCTTGTTGCAGATGACCTCCATGTTATTTAGTGATACAAGAAAGAAAATTTGTGTTATTTGTTTTTATTGCATTCATTAGGAAAATAATGATTATTATTCCAACAATTTAATTCTGTAGTTTCTACTTACTTGAAGAGTAATTTAAAGTAAGTTTACTCGCCTCTGTCTAGCTATTGTTTTAAGTTGTTAGAACGGATTTTATAGAACGCGTGAAATATTCTAAGCCCTTTTATCAGTAAGTGGGGCAATGTAGGACAGAGAATGTCGATATTTCCCAGTATTCCAAATCAAAATCACTGGAGGGTTGGAAACACAGTCTTTACCGTAAGCGATGGGTACAGCTTGTAATGAAATGCAAAGGAATATGATCGAAGTTTTATTTGTGATTTTTTTACCAAAATCTTATCTACCAATTTAATTTTCGATAAATTTAAAATATATTTTTATGTTTCTTAAGTTTTAAGCCCTAGAACCTAGTACCTCAGGTTGGATATAATCGATGGAAAAAAGTGAGGAAAAAGGAAGCCTTAAGGACCCGATTTTGTTCATCTTTTCACTATTAGTCAAGATACTTGGGTGTTCGTTTCAGTACAGAGAGTTCAGTTTAGTATAGGAAGCCCAGAGCTTTAAATGTGTGCAAAGGAATTTCCGCAAATCAACTATTTCACGTGAAAATGGGGTTTTTTTTAAATTTATGCCCGCAAAAAGTAATTTTACAAAACTGTAAAAGATATAATTAAACAATGCCGCAGAATAGGATTTTTAACTTATAAGGAGGGGGTAGCAATATTTCAATTAGAAATATGCATTATAAGATAAAGATATTACCCATGACGATGGTGTATAAGTTCTTTTATTTTATTTAAAGAAAATCTCGACGAGAGATTGAAGTCCATCCCTCATTATCGAGACCTTAATCATTCCAAACATCGTAAGCAATATGGAAATAGGGAAGAGCAAATGCGAAAACGGGTAAGCTTATCAGCATAAATATTAATCAGATTTTTAACGCCTTCAGTTATAAACGGTTATTCTGAGAAAAACACATAGCTATTCGTTTACTGTTACCGGCAAAGAAATGTCGTTCCGTATCTTAATTAGTTTCGTCTTTGCATCGTTCGTATATCTCTTGGCAGAGATCAACGCACGTCCGAAAGGTGTCATCGACAGATACAAAACTGATATAAATTCTGCTCCAATTGTGCTTAACCCGAATGTAATCCGAGAAATGAAAGAATACAAACTGAAAGTTCTAAAACTGAAGATACTTCGCGAAATCAACTTAACTGCACCACCTATGGTTCAAACACCTGTTCGAGTGCCCAGAAATTTCCTGAAACTATTTAATAAAACAGTGGATGAAATTGAATACGACGATAACGAGGAATTAATTGAAGATCCCATAAATGGTAAGCATAATTATTTTTGGATGAATAGTAATGTACCTCATCAAGTTTCAGAGAACATACGAAATTGTAAGTAGCATTTTTCAATGCTTAGTATTGTACAGTCCGCAAAAAAAAAAAGATATCACCCTGAATAACTTTCGTTCTAATGATCGGATTTTCACGAACTAAATGTCAATCTTAATGGTTCCTGGGGGTGACTTCAAATATGCTAATTAATTAGTGCTAACTATTAATTAAGTTACGAAATCAGACACAAAAACGTACTTTCTCTGAATAAACATATATTTTTTTTTACATATTTGGAATCTAGACACTTGAATTAGGGGGGGTAGACAAAATTTTAAAACAATTGGGTCGTAAATTGGGTTGCAATAAAGGTTTATATATTTGGCGATAGTCCAGAAAACCGCCAAAAAAAGTCGCCTGCGCAAATAAATATTTTAAGATAACCCATTGACTAATTCAAAAGAGGAGTGCTTAATTTTACTAGGTTGCTACGCAACCAAACTCTGATAGTAAAAAAATTGAAATAATGTTCAGTGATTGCTCGGAGGGGCTTAATTTATTGTTAATAGAAAATATCTCGAAGTTTCCAGGCCATAAACAATTTTTTTAGGGGATTTCTGTCCAAAAAGCAAAAAAAATATTATTTTAATCTCCTTTGAAAAGTAAATTTGAATCGATTTATAAATTATTTATATTAGTTTTTAGAATTTAAATACATGAACTTTTTATCTGATATTATTTAGATTATGCTATTTTTGCTATGTTTATTCGAGGATTTCATACTAAAATCAAATTAACATAACTTATAATAGCTATATACAAAATTTTAGGGATAATGATTTTTACAGCTTTAATCGAGTCTTCTAGGCATGAAAGTTTGAAGGAAAAAAAAGTGCATGAAAAATAAAATGTAGATTGTATAGTAATTCTAATGCACATTCACAAGGTTTTCTGTAATTTACGATTTCTTTTTTCTATAACTCAATGAATTGCTGAATGTTTAGTGGCATTTTAAAAACATTGAAATATGTTATGTTTAAGAATAAGATATTGAAATAATATGTTGCATATTGTATGATTCATTGTTTAAAAAATTGCTTCATTTTGCTAGATATTTACGTTACATGGTTTTCTTTGGATAAAGATGATTAGCAAATAGCATCCACATGTTTCGATACATTCTGAAACTTACGTTCGCAAATTCACCATAAAATGTCGCACAGCATATTCTTCAATTACGATAAGCTACATTTACCACCAAATACTGCTACTATGATTATTTTTGTTTTTATATATATATATATATCTGATATGATACTCTCTTTTTAAACAGAGCTCGTAAGGCCCTTAAGATACTGAAATGGGGGCACGAAAACTTAAAAGATTTTTTTTTTCCTAATGCCCGCCTGTGTTAACATCAGTCAATTCAGGCATCTACAGGGCGACAGATATCTGTGTGGCCTAAGGATTCCTAACGAGCATCAAACATTCTCAAAATTAAGTGTTCATTCACTGGAAAATTTAGTGTTTATTCAATTTAAGAACTGTTCCTTCACTTGGTTATCTTACTACTTATTATTTAAACCACCAAAAGCTTAAAACAATATTATGTAAGTTATCTAAATTTTTTTTACATAATTTGCATTTAATAACAAATATGTCGACATGCATTTAATAACAAATACGTCATTTAGCTAAAATTACAAATTTTGAAATTTTTATGATTTTTTTTTAAAGACAAGCTAAGCTTAAGTATTCCTTCACTGGTTAGTTTACCCTATAAGATTTTGAGAAATTTGCGATGTTGTGAGAGATGCTTAAAAATGTTGACTGCGTATTTTTATTAATATTTATAAAATATATATTCAAGAAATTGATGAATATTTTATTCCAAATTTATTCATTCGTATGTATATTATTGAAATTTTATCAGTTATTGAGAAAAAAAAACTAAAAAATAAAAAATAATCACATTAAAGAAGCACAATCTGTTGTATAATCATATTCTATCAGAAGCATGCTTTTATAAAACTCCACATTCTCTGAATAAAATGTATTTTATTCAATAAAATGTTTTATTCAAATTTCTTTACTAAATTGCAAATAGAATTTTAGACGACTAAAGAAGAAACATCGTATTTTATAGCTTAAAAAAATAAAAATGAAAAGATAAGCAAACGATTATTAGCGAAAAAAATATGAATGAAATTTTATGCTAAGCGCGCGAAGTCAAGTTCCTCGCAAGTTTATCACATTTTAATATTAATCGCCCCATTTAATCATTTCTTCATTGTCGCCAAATTATTTTTTTAAAAATAATTAATTTTAATTTTTCTCAGCTTCTAATAAATAAAAACAGTTGAAACTTTAGATTTTTCAATTGAAAAATATGTAGATTAATATGGTATAAAAAAATTCATACCTTATAATTCAAAAATTTTTCATCCTTAATTTAATTAAATAATAAAAAATAATTAACAATTATTAAAAATTATTTTTTTCGTGAAATTATCTTTGGGTAAATGAGTTTTATGACTGGGTGAAATTTTCTTCGAATTGCTTTATTAGTTTTTAAAATATGACTAAAAACGTAAAAAGTGAAATTAACATTAAGGGGTACGAACTTTGGATCGCTCTCCTGACCAAACTATGGGGACCATATTTCCCAGATTGCGGCTACCCCCTATATTTTGAAGGTTAAGAATCCAAATATGTAAGAAAAAATATATGTTTATTCAGAGAAAGTACGTTTTTGTGTCTGATTTCGTAACTTAATTAATAGTTAGCACTAATTAATTAGCATATTTGAGGTCACCCCCAGGAACCATTAAGATTGACACTTAAATCGTGAAAATCCGATCATTAGAACAAAAGTTATTCAGGGTGATATCTTTTTTTTTTTGCTGACTGTACATACTTACCAGAGTTTCAGAGAACATATCGAATAGTAAGCAGTATTATTTTTCTAATTCCTCGTAATTCATCTGGCGAATTTTAGAGAAAATATTGAGTGGTAAGTATTAGTATTTTCAAATGTTTATTTATGTGCCTACAATATTAAGATACAAAGAACTTATTACATTCTTAAAACGTTCATGAAAAGAGATTTCTCATGTAATATTTCCAGAGCTGTTGCACAAATAATATTATTTTTTTAACACTAGAAAGACTGAAACTTAGTATATAACTGTATTTGCCCAAAAGCAGCCAAAATGCATTGTGAAAGAATAAGTAATGTGTAAAGAAATTAGTTTAATTAATTTTTAATATTTTTTATATTACTTACATAACAAGCATATAACAAGTTATTAATAAATATTAATGATAAAAAAAATTTACTTCACTTGGAAAAAAAATAATTTATGCATTATTATTTGTACATTTTTTGTAAATGAAAAAGCAGTTAAAAAACAGTCAAAATGACTTCCTTGGGCAATCTAGTGTTGATGATTTTGTGTTTTTGAAAACTTTTCTTGATTTCAATTCTTGAAAACGTTTTTACTGTTCATTTGCTGTGAAATTTTTATATTTTTGAATCGGTTACTTTTGAAAGGTTTCAAAAATTTTCCTGTGTGGCTGTCATACAAATGTTCATTGAATTACCTGTGTGGTAATAAAATATTTTCATACATTTTCTCGGAATTTTCCTTCTGTATAATTTGTATCTCTTTTCATAATATTATTAAAAGTTTTTTAAATTTAAAGATAAGTAAAAATATTGATATTAATTATTTTGTGAAAATTATACCCTTGTAATGTATTTCAAAATTATTTTACGCTACGATGCGCAAATATTAATGATGGTATATACTTAGGAAATGTTGAAATAGAACCTAATTAGTTAAAAATAAATAACTAAAGCAACAATACCGGGCTAGTGTTAATGTTGATTTCGAAAAATCTGAGCCACTCCATGCAATGTATTTTACCAACCTGTAGAATGTCAGGTTGAATTTATTTAGTACACCCATTGCAATTTGATACTGATGAAATTTCAGAAAAAAATAAAGACAATTTTAAAAAACAAAACAAAAACTTAAAAATTGTCAAATGCATTTTTTTAGATTGGAATTACAAAAGAAATTATATTTATATTCTTAAAATAAAACAGTGTGATTTTTTGAAAATGTTCCTAAAATGATAACCATAAAAAGATACATTTCAGTTGATAATAGTACCGTGCAAATAAATACTATATTCCCAAGATTTCTGTCTGAAATGCAATGGCACAAGCATTGAGCTCTTGATATTGTTTTTAAGTTTGAAACTTGCTTAGTATGTTTTCCTTCCTCTCACGTTTTCTCTTATTTATATTAAATCTTAACTTAAAAAAATTATAATATTAATGCGTAAAAATTTTACACGAACTGATCTAATTAATACATCTATCTCAAAATATGTAAAGGGTTAATTTATCATTTTTATGCAATACTTAAAATTAACTAAAAGAACATAATTGAATAAAATTAATTTCATTTTGTATATATATATANGAATAGGAATGGAAAAAAAAACTTTTTCAAACTACTTTTTGTTTAGATTTTTATAATTTAATACAAATATAATTACCATAATCTAACAGATTTTTTTTTGAAACCATCAAACTGCTTTTTATAATCAAAAAGTATCAAAATACATATTTTGCTTGTCATTAGAGCCTCAGCAAAAAATATATATGAGGGACACTGGTCTCCCATCTACGTCAAAAGGTTATGATATTACTATAGTAATACATAAAATATTGATACATTAATATAATTTGAAATTTTGTTTGCGCAAAATATAAATAATATAAATAATAAAATAAATATATATAAATTTCTGCTCTTAATTGGAGCATGAAAAAAACATATATAAAAGGCACACCGATATCCCCTCAACAACAAAGGATTAAACGATATTAGAATTTTTTTTCCTCATCGAGTTATTGACGTATGCAAAAATTAAAACAGAAATAATCTTATTTTTCCTATTCTACCACTTCAAACAATTAC